TTGGTATTGGCCATGAGAATTCTTGATTGACGCCTCCCTAGAAATCAGTGATGCTGACTAAGCCGAATAATTATCTTTTGGATTTTTAAAACCATTTTTGTCATAGTATTGTTTTAGTATCCAAGTCATAACGATTTGCTGGTGTTGTAGTGTCTTTGCTTATGAATAAGACTTTAGATAAGCTTCAGCTGATCCAGTCATCCACTAAATGTATACTGTAAATAAGGAAAGGCGGTTTACATCCACATCATCGTAGTTTGTGTTATGCTGGTGTGTTTTTGTAGGGGGAGGGTCTGGTGAAGAAAAGCTCAGCACACAACAGTCCCACAGAAAAGCTCTGTGAAGAAGTTAACCCGGTCTTTTGATTCCCAACCTGAAGGCTGAATACATGCATAGAGTGCCTCACACCACAGAATAGGTCTTTTTTTCTGGAGTCATCATACTCTATGGAAATGGACCTTAGTGTTAATGTTTAAAATGCTCACTATGGAGTCCAGACTGTGTTAAAAGGGTTTCCTTTGTACAACGGGCCCTCAGTGGTCTACTACCAAGGCCATATCCAAGTCATTTATAAGTAGCAGTAGAGTAATTGTTGAGAACAGTCAATTGTGGCCATTTAAATGAGAAGGCTGTATTACATCCAGTAGAATTTTTCCTTTTCTCTTTGTCAGATAGGCTTTGTGATCAGATGAATAAGTGCAGTATGTATGTATGTACTAAAACTTGGAGACAGGCTTTCAACACCTGAGCCTTTGGTATGAAATATGGGTTGGGAAAGTGTTCCTTTAAGGAGTGAAGGGTCTCCTCCACCCCTTCTGCTGTATGAGCTGCTCTCTAGACATATGGAATAAGAAGCACAGTGAGTCATAGTGTTGCACAATGGAGGGGGGGGGGGTTAGATTGCCTGCTGGGTGGTAAGTAGTGAAGTGGTGCTATTGTGTTTCTTTTTCCATTGGATCTGAAGGATTGGTGGGGTTGTCTCTTTTTATTCCGGACCTTTTCTTTACTTGTGTAATTGTAGTTTTTCACCCGACGAGGAAAATCAAATTCATTACAGCTCTGTTTTCTGTGGCCATTGTCGTAGGCTATAGAAGGCAAATTGAATATAGACTTTTGTCTGATAAATTTGAGTTAACCATGTTGCAGATAATGCTGTGTTTTGAGGCTAATCTCGCTTTCATAAAATGTAGCCTAATCATATGAGAGTATTTTGCAGGCTTCAATCCTTTCGCAAAGCCTGTCTTAATCCTTGCCAGTCATACTTCTACCGTTTCATAATGCTCTGATTGAAAACTCATTTGTTGCATCTGGGATCACCAAATGATTTGCATACATTATACAGAGCTGTGAAGCCTGCCGATCACCGCCTTTTAACGTGACACAGAAGAGCTCGGCCCGTTCGGGGGAAAAAGGAACGGCTCCAGCCTGCTGCGTCCGTTTTGCTTTGCGGCACAATGGCGATGCGCTTGCTCTCCTCGCCGTGGGTTTGTAAATTTTGCCTCAAAATCACAGACGGAGGCTCCAGTCTGTGGGAGTAATGCGAGAGTGATTTGGGATGAATAAAACATGGTGCTATGAAAGAGTAATGTTGAAAAAGGAGTGTGTTTTGTAATAGAGCCCTGCTGCGTGCCTATTGTGAGGTGATGTGTTAATAGTGAGAGAGCAACTGGGTGGTTAGGAGGCCGAGGAGGTTTAATTTCTCTGCCGCTCTGAAGGAGAAACGTATTTTTATTTAAAACCTCCTGGCTCACACCCCTTGACTTCATTGCAGTAATGGAAATGGTAAAATAGGTGCTGTTGGCTGAGCCCCTGAAGCCTTTTCACTGGCTTTCACAAATGGCTGGTTTTGCTCCCTCCCTCGCTCTCTCTCCCTCTCTTTCTCTCTCTCTCACTCTCTCTCTCTCTCTCACTCTTTCTGTCTCTCTCTATATTCTCCCTCCCTCCCTTTTCCATTAAGACAGCTGGTATCTTTCAAAAGGTCCTGCACCGCTGATTGATGTGTAATGGCTTCAAGCCTCACCTGCCCCTCAGCATGTTATTCATCTGTGAGCTCCATGCAGGGGAGGACTGCTTACTGCGTAATTGGTCCTGGTCAAAATTCAGGCAGCAGATGAACCAGTGCGTGTATTGTCACTGCCATGTGTTAAAAGCAGCCTTGTAGCCATACATATGAACCCGTTTGAGTGACAGCATAAAACGTTTTGGTAGGAAAAAGTCCACGTTTAGCAGTGAATGAGTGCCAGACCCCTGACTTAAAGCGTACTTTAGGGGGGAATCTATTTATAATGAAACAAAGGAAACTGTATGCATGTATTGTTAGTGCTGTCTAGTTGTTCTGTGCACACATGCCGAAGAAGGGCCAGCTGCTCCTACTCAAATCTTTATCTTAACCATAAATAAAACTGCACATGGAAAAACTGGTCTCAGTTTGTGAATAAGAACACACAAAACACCACTGTAGCATTGATAAGATGAATAGAATTATAATAAAAAAAAATCCAAGATAAATTCAGAATAAAGACAACTTGTGTGCGCTGTTAATTATAATTATCTTTATTTACAGAGCACTTTTCATACTGGTGGCAGCTCAGAGTTCTTTACAGACAGGTAATCATGCTTACCAGTTATAGAAGGGATTATTCAGTTATTTAAATTATTAAATTATTATTTTATTAAAATCATATAAGGCATATTATAGGGCATATAAGGCCAACATGGAGTGGTTATTTATTTCTCTTTGCTGTGCTCCCGTTATGAATAGGACTGAAGTTCAACGCTATCATGATACTGACCAAATAACTTCAATACTACAGAGAATCAAAACGTTTATGCCATTCAACATCTAAATTTTAATGTCTAAGCAGTCAGTTTTATCAGTATCTTCAAGCCAATAGGCCTGCATGTTCCAAAATCTAGGTTGGTGATTGGCTGAATTACGTTGCACATGCATGTTATTAATGTTAGCGCTTCTTGATTGGTCTACAGTCTGTTGTGGTCAGTGAATATAACCAGTTCCAGTTCTGATTTAAGCCACATCCACTTTCAGTTTGCAAATTAAAAGAAGTTATTGAAATAATATAGTTCAGGAATCGGTATCGAAGTCACGGTATATGTATTGATATCGATTTCAACTATTTTTAAATGATTCTCATCCCTATGGATGACTGAAACTAATTCTGTTCTCTTTAACATTGTGTCTTCAACATGTGTTAAATGTGTCAAACATGATATGATTTGCAAAAGCCTCAAAGCTGTAATTGTGCTGTTTATACTCTTCTTGGTTGCTTAGTCTATGTCAACAATGAAATGTGGGTCAGCAGTGTATTTCATTTGTATCTCAACTCGAGTGCTTGTTCCTTTTATCTTAAGAAGGTTGTAGTCTCACTTTCAAACTGATGTGTGGGAGGGGGGTGTCTGTGGTTAGCTTTAAGGTGTTTGTGTGCGTGTAGTTGTGTGTTGGCAGCCCAGCGCCCAGCGGTCAGCATGGTAACTCATCATTAGGTGATTAATAGGGCCGTGACGCGGGCGCGCCATAATCAGCCGCTAGTGTTTGTATTGAGGCTGACGAGGAGAGCAGCTGCCCTGTCAGTTGGTGTCTACTCAGAAGATGACAGGCTGCCGTTGACGAGCCGAGTTGTCAACTACGCCACTGTGCCTGCCAAAAGCCATTTCTCTTTCCTTTTTTACCTCCTCTGTAACGCACATCTGATTCTGACAAACAGCCCAATTCTCCACTGCCTCTTCTCCTCTCCTTTCCTCTCCTCTCCGTCTGCCTCCTCGCATTTCTGAATTCACCCTGGCAACATTGTTGGTGGTTGTCAGGTTTTAGCCGCACCAAAGGCTACAATCATCATAGCTTCCAGTTTATCTAAAGAGAACGGAGGGAGAAGCAAAGCCGTTCGAGAGAGGACCTTACCACAGCCAGACCTTCACAGCCATTTCATGCGCTGGTTTATTTTTCTGTTTCAGTTACTTTATTTATTTTTGATGATTGATCTTTATTTTCATCAGGGCTGACTTAAAAGGGCGAAAAGAAGTGGTGAGCATTTCAGTAAGGGTTGTAAAAACAGGATTTGGTCTAAAGCTGTTTTCTGCCTGCAGTTTGCAGCCAGGTTCTCTTCTCCATGCCTGTCTGTTCTGGTTTGCAGTGCTGAGCGCTTCGCTGCACTAGCTCAAGCAACTGGTCTCTGGTTGGGCTGGGTTGGGCTTGGCCCAACCCACACACATCCAAACAAACACTAGCCCTGGATCACACTAAGGTCTCTATTCCAGCTGAGGCCCTGCCTCAAAGCGTTAGCCGGTTTAACGCAATATTGTTATACAGGGCAAAGCAATCCGCCGTTACTTGAATGAGGTGATATTGAGAAGGTCTTTGCGCCTAATATTCTGTAAGATGTTCCGCGGAGGCTGTTTGAAGATGGTGCTGTGGGGAGCTCTCTTTAGGTCACTGTGTGGAAAAACATTTGGCCGCCTCTCACCACTCGACGAAATGAACTGAGGAATGGAGCAGGCAGCTTGAAGTTTGTGTTCTTTTGATATAGCTTTGCTCTGAGCTCTCCTGAGGCCAGGCGCTGCTGCTGCGGAGGAGATTGCCCATTGATGTTCCTTTCTGTGCCGAGCAGCTGCGCTGCTTAGTGCCTCTGATTGATTCAGCTGATTGCATGTATATTAATAAGCCTTTTTTCTAGCAACTGTAGCTTATAAGAGAATTCCTAGTAACAGAGAGGGTGACATTCGTCAACAACGATTCAAAACATAGGATTTTTTTTTTAGTTCCTTCTAAGGCAGGGGTTTCGAGTCTTGAAGTGCAGGGAAGACACTGAAATCTGCATGGCAGGGATACTCCTGCCAATGTATGGTCAGATAACACTGGTCCAGAAACAGCACTCCTGAATGGGGACCTGCTTTCTAATTTCCGTGACTGGGGACTACTGATATAAGGTGATGTCATATCCAATGAAACACTCTCTTAATAGCTTTTGTTTTTTTCTCTTTTGCAGCTCTTCTGAAACACTGGGGTTGTTGGTGTGGCCAAATTTTCCCTGGATTAGCTTGGTAAATTCAGAAGACTGAAGCCCAGGCTCACAGTCTACCTTTCACGGAGGCCAAGCCGTGAGAGGACAGAGGAAGGCACGTGGCGAATCATGACTGCCGACAAAGAGAAGGACAAGGAGAGGGAGAGGGACCGCGACCGGGACAGAGAGCGCGACAAGCGGGAGAAGACTCGCGAGAGCGAGAGCTCGCGGCCCCGGCGCAGCTGCACACTGGAGGGCGGCGCCAAAAACTACGCTGAGAGCGAGCACAGCGAGGATGAGGAGAACGAGGCGGCTGGAGGCGCCACAGCCGAGGAGGCCACCAAGAAGAGCAAGAAGAAACTGCCCAAGAAGAAGTCGCGCTACGAGCGCACGGAGACCGGAGAGATCACCTCCTTCGTCACGGAAGATGACGTCGTTTACAGACCCGGCGGTAAGCACCTTTTAAACTCTGCCATCTTTGGCTGTGATTGGGCTGTTGAACTGTTCTTCTGTTTCACCTCATACATGTGTCTCTGTCCGTTTCCAACCTGAGCCTGACATTCAGCTCTGAGGGACCTTGATGCAGGAGAGAATGTAACAGTGCTCTCAACTTTATTAAGAATTTTCACACTTCATGCTAGACAGCACGTTTCCAGCTAATTACACGCCGGTCTGTTGTCAAGGTAACTTGTTGGCCTGGTAAATGTGTTGCCATTTTGATTTTGAAGGAGGCTGAGTAAATGGTTTGACTTGGCTCAGCGTAGGGCAGGAATGTATTCAATAATATTGTGCTAACATAACTAATATTGCTGCATTAGCATACCGCAAGTGGATCACCCTTGCGTCAGTAGATATCAGTCTTATGACTATCGTTTAGATGAAAAGAAATGTGCTTTTATTGGCTACCAGCGCTGACAGAGTGAATTTAGCAAAAGAGTTTTGATGAAGGCATGAAAGAAATTGCCAAGATAATATTTAGGATGGTTGTGAAAATGTGTTTTTTGTCTCCCCTCTTCCTCCTTTTCAAAGCTTCCTCTGTCTGATGCTTGCAGGAATAGACAGTCATCTCTTTCTAGTGTTTTTTTTCCCTTTGTTTTATTTCTGAAATGTGAAATGGGGTCTATTAGGTCTTTATTAGGCACTGCGATTGAGCCTAAAGCGCAGCGCTAACCTTTTCCCTGCCTGTAAACACGGCCTCTCTCTCACCTGCTGTTTGGAAATTGGTTGTACATGCGACGAAGGGGAAATGTCAACACTCCAGTGGAGGGCTGGGGGTCTGCAGAGCAGCCGCTGTGTCTTCTGCATGCGGGTGTGTGTATGTGTGCGTCCCTAGGCCTAAATCTTCTCTGCCATGTCTTTCATTTATCTAGCAGCAGCGAAAGGTCAAGTAGGAGCGCGCTGGCAGTGCATAGTTATTTAATGTGAAGACACTGAAAATTATAGCCAATGTGTAATTTCAGTCCTTCCCCCGCCTCCACCCTCTCCCCAGTGCTTAAGGGAGTTGTATTACCAGAGAGAAAGAGAGAGAGGTGCGTGCAGAGAACCCCTCCCCCTCCCCTCCAGCATAATATACTCTGAGGCATTATCTGTGCAAGGTCCTTGAAAGTGCTGTCTGCCCTAATGAAGCCTTGTTTCTGACAGTGACCCCACAGCCTGTCTCTTCTGTGTGTTGCTAGACTAAACCAGAGTGGCTGCTTCTCTTCTCTCAGACAGACAGGGCTTTTAAAAATCACTCTGTTCATCCTGCATATTCTTATTGCTAGTGGGTGAATGTAAGAGAGGACATGATGTCATATGTTTGGGAGCAGCGTGCCTGTAACGTTGCAGTGCTTAAAGGCTGCTATTGGTTTTGTCATTTGTAGGGAAACAAGGCAGACCTCGCGAAAATGAAATCCGTCTTGATTTTAATGCAATCTACGGTTAAAGAATTTGCATTAAATTAAATTGAATTGAGTATGCAGCGCAGTCCCCTGTGCACCAGTCTTCCATTTACACTCAATTTCCTGCCCAGGACGATCCTCTCATCTCCGGCAGGCGCCACTTTTAGGACATGATTTTGTGTGTGTGCGTGTTGCTGTAGTAGGTATTTTGCAGTGCAGTGCTGCTGATCTGTATGTGGTCATTTGCTGCAGTGTTATTGCAATCAGATTTGATTCGGGTGGCTTAAGTAGGCACAAAGCCTGTGCTGGATTAAGCTCTGCTAAATGTTAAATCCTTTTATATTCGTCTGGTGACACACAATATGTAAAACTGACCACCCTTGGAGAGGGTATTAAGCAGGCAGAGAGGGGTTTGGAGAAGGGGGGGTGCGGAAAGAGAGAGAGAGAGAAAGAGAGACTGGCAGAGAGACAGAGAGAGCTGAAACACAACATTAATTGCTTTTGTTGCTGGAGAGAGCCTAACAAGCATGCATGACTCTGTGTAGATAATAGGAAACAATATTGAAAGAGTTTCCTGTCTACCCACTCAGGCTTCTCTGTCTTTGCCTTCCAGCATTTTTATGGCAAGCTTAGTGTGCATTGATTAGGTCATCTGAAAACCACCCAGCAGCGTAAGATGCGTGGTGTAGGCCGTCTCAGAGGTTTAACCCTTTAATGCTGAGCCAAAAAAAGCAGCTGTTTCTGCTTTTTGATCTGCTCTTCTCCTTTTAATGATATGATTTCTCAATCAAGATCTTTTCACTGTGATCTGTGCAAAGTGAAAATGAGTAAATTCTTGTTCTCTTTGTGTCTAAACTAGGGATGCATCGATACCGATACTGGTATCAGGTATCGACTTGATACTGTGCACATTTACTCATACTTGTACTCATAAAAACATACCAATACCACCATCCTATACCAGCTGATAACATATGCAAGTTAAGTCTACACTGCTGTGCTAATGATCAAAATGGCTCAAGTTGGCAGTGCTATAGAGTCTGCTCACACAGGGAAGTGCTGCTGACATCGTGGCGTTCAGACACGAAGTCGCTAGTCACCTTATTCTCCCTTGTCAAATTGCCACCAGGAATGCATTGTGTGGTTTTAGCCCATTTATAAACACACAGACACATCACACCTGCTTCCCCCAGTATAGCTGGAGCCTCATAAGCTACCAAAATGGAGGCAGAAAAAAGTTAGGATTTACTACCAGAGTCCGTGTATGTGACTTTAGTCTGTTTGACTGAATTTCTTTTTAACTGTCTTTGTAAAATAGGCTGTAGACAGACTGTATTGTCCTCCCATGTACTTCACCACCTGGTTTTACTTTTGCTGCGCACTTTTTGTAAGTGTGTTTACTCAGTACTGTTGTTCTGATGAAACAGCTTTATTTGAAATTGACCATAGGCCAAATCACTCCTCTTAAGCATTTCCGAACGCATGTTGTTCTCCAAATTTTATTGTTAGTTTCTGGGTAAGTAGAAACCCAGAAGAATCATACATGCTCAGAAGAATGATAGTTGTTGTGGGGAAAAAGTGCACAGATCACAGGTAGGACGCTTCTTGCTAACTTTTGAAATGAGTTAAAGGGGACGAAGCCAAAGTCTGTAAATGAATTGTTCCTTCCACATTATATAAGATGGGGTTAATATCCTCCAGCAGGGAGAGAGAGGGACATGGCGTGAGGGAATATGTGCGAGAGGGAGATGTAGGGGTGCAGGAAACTGTAAGAGCATTTCTATTGTAGGCTGCCTGGGTGGACTTGAGCAGGGTGGGCAGTGGAATCGATCAGCTCTTTGAGTGCTGTTCTTGTGTCCAGGCCCCCTGTAGCTTTGCGGATATTCGCTCCACACAGGCAGCTTATGGATCCAGCCGGCAGATTATACACACATGAGATCAATAGCCTAGGCATATCTCGCCAGACTGTGGCCATCTGCAGTCCTCTTTACAAACCCAGAGCTGCACGAGTGTCCTTGCAGCATGCAAGCAAAAGTGTGTTTCCCCCTGGCCCTTTTCAAAATGGAGAGTTCATCTAGCAGGCTGGGTTCTTTCCATTACCGCTCCCACTCACTGTAATGGAGCTCTGCAGCTTAAAGTGGCGGCAGTTGCCACAGGCTTTGCTGCTGGTGCTGAATGGAGGTGGCTGGGTTCTGGGAGGTGTGTGAGAGCAGCAGGATCTGTGTGTGTGTCGTTTCCTTGTCTCTTGAGAGATGTGCATCCCTTAGAACACCCTCTCTAATATCTTCTGTCTGCTCCCCTGGTAGCCTGTGGGTGTCTGGACAGCTGTCACCTAATTACGCAGCCACCCAAAGCCTGCAGTCCTGTCAGCAGGGCAGGGCCAAACGCCTCAGAGAGCCTCTGGAGCCCAAACCCGTGCACCTCCTCATTGGCTTAATAACGCTGTTTCCTTTGTCCGCTCGCAGTTTTGGCTTTCGCTGGTTGGTTTCTGTTTCGCGTTTGTCAGTGAAAACAGTTGAGAGGGGTTACAGAAACTCTAGACGCAGCCTGCTTGGGGAAATGATGCTTCGGATGCTTCTCTGTGGAGAATGAACGTACTTTGGAGTAGGGATGCACAATACCTTGCTTGCCAGTTCATTGAAAACTGTATTTTCTAAAATTTTCTAAAAGAGTTTAACATTGTATTTAGGCATTATTTGTTTCTGAACCATTCACTCTCCCCCAAGTCGATCAATATTTAGAAACTAAGCAAAAAAAAACTCATTTACATACATCTGCCTATTTAGCCCACAGCAGTTTAGCCCCGCCCATTGTTGTTGAACTTGTGAGGCGTTTTTTAGCCTAGACTGCTTTTTGAATGAGGTTGAATACAGGGCAGCAAGTCAGAAATCAGCAAATATGCAGTCATTTACATATCAATCGTAAAGTCGCAGTGACAAAAGCAGCCTGTGTAATACTAAGGGACAAGGAAAGGGTGGGAAACGTCAATGTAAAAGTGAATTCTGACTTTTTTGGGTGCATAAAACACACAAACATCATAAGTGGACCTCAGGGACAAAATTTCCCTACATTGGGGTCTTTGGGGCACATTTTATACGATCAGAAAAAAGTCCTATTTCTCAAATGAGGTTCTGTTCCTTCTCTATTCACAGAAAGGTGTTTGAGAGAAGGAAGGGAGAAAAAAAGACTGAGTTTAGACTCATCTATTATTCACTGAGGCGAGACTGAGAGCTGTTGGCCACCTGTGTGAGTCATGGGGAGGTAGACGGTGCCTCCCTGCAGCTCTGCTGGAAGACTGCTCAGCAGTGTTAGCTCACATAGCTACACTGCCTTTTTCCATCCATATCTGCTGCCTTACACACCCACTGCTGTCGGTCCTGAGAACTGAGAAAACGAACATGAAATACATGACTACCATTGAGTAGACCTTGACACCTGTTTATGGCCAGGAATAGCTGTTTATGTTTGCAGCAGTGCTTTAGGCTTGTTTGAAAACCCAGATATCTTTTTTTTAGTTTCCCTAGTATTGGACATCAAGTCAAAACCCCTTTACATTAGTATTTGTTAGTAT